GTTTAGTAGAAAATACCACTCGACATAAACGATATGTTGCTTGAAGTGTATTCGAATAGAATAGTGAGCAAACAGACATGAATGCTCGTATATACACATTAATCATTAATATAAAGAAAGAAAAATAATACAAAATACATATTTGCTGTTCATAGAAGTGCTACTTGATTAACCGAATTGTGTTTTCATTAAATGATATATAATAAAAATAAACATCACTGTTGATATAGCGATACTTAATGATGAAAAAATAATTATGGAATAAGCAATAATAATATTTGTTAGTTGTTATACTGAATAATTCATTTTTCTTCGATAAAGACGATAGACAATGTTGATTGAGAATTATTAAGTGAAAACGAGAATAAAGTTTATTTAAGAGAGCGAGAGAGAATTAAGTAGCTTTTCTTTAAAGGAGGATAAAATGAAAACCCTTATTCGAGAAAAACGTCTTTTGATAATTAGTACCTTCCTCGGTTTCATCAAAAAAAAGGAAGACAGATAATTGGATGCGGATGTAAAATAAAAATAACTACAGCCACAGCCACCCTTGAATCTCCTTTATATCGTAATTAGAAGAAATGTATTTCATACACCTTTTAAACACTGATTTGTTCACTGCATATCTTTGATAAAATTTCAAATATATATTATTAATATTGAATTGTATCTCACAGACGTAAATGGGCAAACATGTAATTAATATAAATGAGTTGTGACGTACATTATGCTTATGTCACTCAAATATCTGACGCAAAGAAAACTATCAAATCTATTTTTAAATCATATTATTCGCGCAGCAGATAATGAGAACTTTTGTCTTGATAAGTTAAACTGATACTTGACACGAGTAACTTTTCTTTTAATTAAAAAAATTCGTGACGTTTCGTATCTCGAAGAGATACTTCTTCTGACATTAGATTTATAGCAAATTCTTTGACTTGTACAAGTAAAATAGCTTTTTTTAAAATTAATTATTAATATCAAATAAATAAAAGAAGAGAATTTAATCATGTCTAATATAATGAGAAATTAAATAAGAAAAAAAATGTTCTTGAAGCACATAGAAAAGATGTAAACAAGAAATATTATTAACTATTCACATAACGGATAGAAAAGACTGTCGATGTCATCTCCTCTAAGTACATCGTTATTGTTCGTGCAACAGATATTTACACATTATGGTTATCCAGTAATGCTTACTTTTGGCAATTTGGGAAATCTACTTAGCATTTTTCTGTTTCTTAGAAAAAAATTACGTAATACTTCATGCAATATTTGTGAGTAGAATTATTACTAACGAAGAATATTGATGATAAATGAATTATTTAGATTTTCTAGTCTCTGCTTTTACAAATTTGGTAGCAATCAATGTAGGGATTATTTCAATAGTCTACGTATACGATCGGCCATCAGCTTCGACAACAACATATTGTAAGACTCGAAGTTATGTATTGAATATATCTCAACAAATGTCTCGATTTTTAATTGTTGCCGCTTGTTTTGATCGTTTTGCTCTTTGCTCAAATAGCGTCCGTCTTCGAAAGATTTGTCAAGTGCGTATTGCTTGTCGATACATTATACCAGGCGTTATTCTTGTCTGGCTTATTATACCATTACATATACCCATCTTTTATACGACTTCAGGAAATACTTGTGTGTTTCCAGGCGCAGCAGCACTCTACAATAGTATCTATGGTATTGTTATGGCTAGTTTCTTACCACCTGGACTTATGCTTATTTTTTCTCTACTCATATTTCGTAATCTTAAAATGAGACAAAGACGACGACAACGAATTCGTCCAATATCGATCATTACTTCTACCGCAATAGGAATTCGACGACAACAAGCAAAAGATCAACAAATCTTAGCAATGTTATTGATTCAAGTGTTTGTCTATGTGAGTTTAACAATTTTCTATACAGTCAGTTTACTATATTCTGCTTTGACAATGAAAGATGCAGCAAATAAATCGAGTGAACGCAAAACAATCGAAGGCTTTGCTTCATTTTGTGCTGGAATACTTATCACGGCGTGTCCATGTTTATCGTTCTATTTATTTATATTAGCTTCTCGTCTATTTCGAAAAGAACTCAAATTGATGGTACTTCATGCTTGTGGTAGATGGGTGCATTCCCCACGGATCATAAACAACAACAGTAATTTGACACATAGAGTCATCACCCGATTCGAACTTATGCAGCGGCAAATTGCACCACCACCACCACCACCTATTCCTTCTATTAATTAATTGAGAGTTTTAAATAAAAAAAAAACTTTTATTTCGTCTCACTATCTTGAGGATGTGAATGTGAGTAGGATTCATTCACACCCAGAAAAGGTTAATTAAAACAATTTATTAAAAAAAATACAGCATCAGTAAAAAAAATGAATTAACTGTTTATCAAATTAACATATACAATTAAAAACATGAAATATAAATCATTAGAATAGAAACTGTCATATTAAGTTGAAGGTGTGGGTGGATGGAAGATGATTACAATATTCACCAACCCACACCCATACTTTCTTACAAACTCTATTTTTTGAATGTAGAAAAAAAGTATTAGACGATTTTATTTTCTCTTGGCTAGAAAATCTTCAACCTACTGCTTAAAATCAAAATCAGCAAGATTATATATAGAAGTATAAAAACACTTGTATCACTAGTGCTAGAACTAGTTCTTTTACGGTAGTTCATAAACCGGAACACAGTTCGGTGCTGTTGGACATGATTGACACGTTCCTTGATATTCTTGAGGAAGTTGATTGCTATCAATATGCTGCAGAAGTATACTTGCTTCTTCATTTTTTTTCAAAACAAAAACTTTTGAAGCTGTTACAGGATCAACAAAACTCTTACACATATTCCAGAGAACTGGAAAAAATCGTGGTGTATTCAATAAAAAGGCTTGACCCATTCGCTCAGGATAATGATTATTATCTATGTTAAGAATTTGTTTTAAAAGTGGAAGAGCTCGTCGTCCAGTCATCAATTCCAATCCATCAAAATCCATAATTGTAACGATTGTCTCAACGTGTTGTCCACATTCACGCGATTTCTGACGTGCACGACGACAGTTAAATTCTTGTAAGTAGATATGCCCTTTGACAAGCTGATCAAGTGGAAAACGTTCGAGACATTTGTTGAGTTTGACTCTACCTAGAAAATGAAGAGGAAAACAATGTTCACTTTTTGAGAATATTCTCCACATTTCTTCGATAAACTAAAAAATCTGATATATCAAGGAAGAATTTCAGTATACAGATCGCCAACAATTCTCAATGACTACATGAAGATATTGTCCTTGATTAGTGTCGCGATTTTTACCTGTTTTTTCAATGTAAATTGGACTATGCTGGCGTGTAAAACCATGATTTGCATAGGGAGCATATTGTTTTGAAAGATCTATATCTTCCTGTGGTGTGTCTAATAGAATTCGATCAACATTATTTTCCTGACGCCATTGAATTGTATCTCGTATAGATTTCAATGTATGAGTAACATTCCATTTTCGTGCACGTAGATATCGGTGAATCATAAACTTCCATTCATTTTCTTCCTCGTTCAAATAATCATTTTGAGAAAGATAATTTTCAGTTGGATCTGGAAGATTTAATTTATTCAATTTATAATCAAGATAACTCGTGTAATCGTTTTGCAGCTGCTGGTGGACAGTACGAAATTTTTCTTGTTGGTCAGCTGTCAGTATTTCTATTTTAAAGTCAGTCATTGCCTTGGATTTTTTCTGAAAAGCTCGTAGACATTCAGATTCTTCTTTTTCTTCTTCTTCTTCTTCGTACTTACTATTGTTTCTTACGAATAGATATAAAAAAAAGTAAAAACGTGTCCGTTAGATAAGTTATAGGCCGTGATATACAAAAAAAATAACTACAGAAAGTAAAGAAAAGGAAAGGAAAAAAATGATATTTATTTTTCAGGTGCAGTTTCTTTTTTTACACTAAACACGTGACAAAGTCTACTTATTTTTCTCTCATTAGCTTACTACAGTAAAAATGTTTTAATTCATGGATGTCTCTCTGTATATTTTTTTAATAGCTTTGTCAAATTTTGACTAAGTTAATCTTGAGGGTGAACAATGAAACATTTAAACAGCATCAATATTATTGAAAAATCTTGATTAGTTAAAAATCCAACATGAATCAATAAAAGAGCTTTTATAGAAATGTACTTTTTATCCATATGTAAAAGCTTATCAATTTATGTATAGATTGAAAAATAAATTATCATGACTGATCTAATCCTTTTTTATTGATTTATCTGATATTGCTCTGTTAAAATAATTTTGTAATCAAGAATTTAACTTTATGAATAATATATTAGATTTCATTGATAAGATATTCCTATTTTAATTGTCGTTGAGAAAATCTTTTATATGCAAGATAATAAATGCATTCAGAAAATACAAAAAACAAAATTGTCGCTACAATAATATAGAAGACACCTTTTATGTTTTAATTTGTTAATTGATGCATTTACTTATTTTCTTTTGTTCGTAGATAACACGACTTTCATATTAAAATTTTGTTCAAAGACAACCATTATTATCGGTAATGAGTAGAAAGTATATAATTCTATTCTTGTAATCGGTATAATTAATAAAATTAATGAGTTACATATCCACGCGTTATGAGTAAAATATGATATCTATTCATTTTGATAAAGAATATCATTGTTGTTAGTCACAATGTCATCAACTTATACTTTTGCTGGAAAACAAGTAATAATCTATTGTGGAATACCAGTTTTTGCTGCTGGTGTATTAGGATGTTCTCTTAATATGCTTGTATTTCTTAGTCTCAAAACATTTCGACAAAGTTCCTGTGTATTCTATTTGACTGTTATGTCTATGGTGAATATAGGAACATTATTTTTGGGTTTTTTTCCACGTATTATGGTCTCTCTATTTTCTACAGATGGAACAGAAATATCATTATTTTATTGTAAAGCACGATTATATTTTTCTCAAATATTTATTGGGACATCATTATCATGTTATTGTTTGGCAACAATCGATCAATATTTTGCTACATGTACTCGTCTTCAATGGCAATTATGGTGTAATATTAAATTAGCAATACGTATAATCATTATAACTGTAATTATTTGGATTCTTCATGGTATTCCATACGTAGTTTTCTATGATCATGTTGTATCATCTACAACAAATCAAACAACTTGTCTCAATACAAACTATATTTTTGATCGATATCGTGCTTTTGTTACTCTTCTTTTACTGATTGGATATTTTCCTATTATGATTGCAGCATTGTTTGGATCGATGGCCTTTCGTAATGTACAACAATTAGCTTTTCGTACAGTACCACTTATTCGACGAGAATTAGATAAACAATTAACTAATATGGTATTACTTCAAGTTCTTGTTAGTATTTTTACTCTTTTACCATATACAACTGTCAGTGCTGTTGCAACAAGTACAAGTGCCATCAATGATCCAGTTTATCAAGGAAAAATTCAATTTGCTGTAACTGTTACATTTGTCTTTTATTATATATCTTTTGCAGTGAGTATTAAACAATTCTAATTGATGTTTTTACTTAATTTTATTATCATTTTAGAGTCCATTCTACATTTATTTTTGTGCATCTGGTCGATTTCGTCGACAATTAAAATATGTCTTGTTTGATATTCATCTAAGTAGAATCTTTCAAAATCAAATAGAACCACAAATGACATTGAATGTTCAGTAAAGTTTGCTCATTGTTTTTGTTGTTATTGTTTGTAAAAATTCTTTTGTATGTTATCATATATTAACAATCAATAAATACTCATCTATACTAAATTTTCATTATAATCTCGATGTCCTTTCATGGAAAATGAATCATTTATTTTTTTGAGTAACAATAATAGTATTAACACAGCAAATTAGAGTTTCAGTTGTATATTAATCAAGTCAAAACGTTTTCAATTCTTTTTGTACAAGAGTTTATATATGGTAATTTTGAAAAAGTTGTATTTTATATTGATTCTAAGGGATAAGAGTAAATAAAACACACTCACATTCTCAACATTAGTTGATTATTATAATGCTTAGAAATAAACAATGTAGTCAGTATGACGCATTTTTATAAGTTCATTTAATATACAATAAAGGATATTTTTGTCAATGATTCAGTGTCGATCTATTCAATGCATCCGTTTACTAATGGATATATTGAGGCTTAAAAACAACACATGATAATGTCGGATACCTTTTAAAAAGTATAATTACGATAAAAACACATTTTAATCATCCGTATATAAAGCGTCCTATACTTTATTTATGAAAGATTATCAATTAGTCATTTATTTTTGCTATAGAACAAGTAACTACTTACATGGGTGGGTGGGTGTGGGTAGTTTTTATATGAAACGAACGTTAACAATGGATCTAATTGACCGAGATTGGGTATGAGTATATTCTGCTCTCACCCTCGATATTATTTATTCATAATTAAATAATACGTTTACAACATCTAATCCTCAACAGAAATTATATTGTTAACTAGATTTATTATGTGGGTCCAACATTATTCCGTATGACATATCCAGAGCAAAATAATTTCCAAATCCATTTATTAAATTCAGGTAATAATCTGCAACATACCCATGGTAAACTGAGACAAACAATGTAAATAAGATCGAGAAGATAATCTAATTGAATTTGAGCTAAGAAATTTGGAGAAATTATTCGTTGACCAACACCACTTATAAGATTGGGAATCCATCCAATCATATAGACACTAGAAATAGCAAGTAACTGTAATGCCATACGTCGTTGTTTCTTCCAGGAAATGAGCTGTTGTCGATGACGCTTTTGTTGTATCACTCGAAACACGAGCACTACATTAGCTAGAAAGATAATAATACTCGGCAGACCATTGTTTATTACCCAAGCAAACGAAGAAAGCATTTTATTATACAAAAGATAACAATTTGCATAGCCACATAAATTCGATGAGAAAACCCATTGAGTACCATCACATGGATAAAATACAATAATAATCAAATAAAATATAGGTGGATAGATCAAACAGAACAATAGAGGAAAATAATACATTACATAACGTTTTAAACGAATATTTAACAGACGTGGTTGAAATACAAATATATGCCTTTGAATAGAGATAACAGCCATAAGAAGTTCACTTATTAAATTAAGACTGTATTCAAAGTATGTCCACCATGTACAATAAGCTGCTGTTGATGGAATAACATAACTATTATGATAGAAGTAAATAGGCATTGGTAGATCAGCTGATAAAGCTACAAAATTAACTGTCAGTAAAAGCAACAGTGCTTGATTTTGTTGATTATACACTAAAGTACGATGTTTTAAGAAAAAAACAAAAATAAACAGACTTATTATAATTGCCGGAATCTGAAATGTGAGCAGAATAACGAATTTAATTCGATGTAAACTAATTTTGTCTTCTTGTATTTTAAACGGTTCTATATTACTTGTATTCATGGATGTCGACGATTGTATGATTTACAAAAAATGAAATGCTTCTTCCTGTCTTATGTTTCTACTGAAATTTTGTGAGAGAAAAATAAAAATACTCTCCATGAAACTTTGATTTGAATACATATAATTACATTTCATATTCTTATGTCTGAGAACGATGATATAAGGAGACTCTATGTCATTCTTATAATTAGGTTCATCAAAAGATTAAAAAGTGACAACTTCAGACTGCTTGTTAATATAGAACGATAAATAAAAAGAAAATATTTGTCGATAGCACGTGTTAAAGAATGTTATCTAGTTGCATATTTCAGAAAGACAATATGAAAACATAAGAAGAATTTCAATTAATACAACATTGATTATATAAACTGGTAGAATAACGAAAATTCATGATTTTTATTAACAAAGTTATATAGATACGAATAATATAGATATCCAGTATCTACTCACTTTTCTCGATATTGAAATTCATTAGAACATATTAATCGTGTTATAATCAGATACAGAAACGTTCTTTTCTATGATGTCTTCTTTAATGTTTATCAAGTGTGCGTAAGTCAGATGATGTGTTTTCTATTTTATTGAATAAAAAAAAATGAATATTTTCGCTACTGTTATTATTAATAAAATATATAAGAAAAAAAATGAACAATATTTAGATAATGCCACATTCTTCAAGAGCACAGCAGAAACATAAACATGCCAAACTAAAATAGAAATAAAGAGATATAATTATGAGAATGTTTTTATTTAAAACTTACATATCAAAAATTGCACCACCACCTCGTAATCCTTTTGGAAAATTTTCTCGTGATGATGGAGATTCTTCAGTATTTAAAGTATCATTTTTCGATGTTGATGTCTCTATTCAAAAGAAAAAATAACGAAATAAGATATTTGCAATTTTCATTGTAGGTTATGTAATAAATTTCGAATGTTTATATTAAAAGAAACAGTGAATAAAAGTCAAGCAAGACTAAGATCACATACATCAATTAGAATATAATACGAAAAGAAAAATATGTAACTAACCTGTAGAATTTTCTACGATATTTGATATTGTCCTAATAATAGATAATCATACATATAATATTAATTAAAGTTTTATTTCGATACTCACGAAAGCGATGGTTGTTGTTGTTGAACGATTGAAGTCATGGTTTAGTTATGTTTATAATAAAATAATATATCCCTTATTACCTCTTTCTATATATATATAATATTTAATGAATTGGGCGTGTCACTTTCTTCTATTACTAACCAGATGCATGATATAATTTGTTTTTCTATTGTAAAATATATACCTATTCACATCGATCGCTTTATGTAGAAGAATACTTTTTTCACAAGGACAATAGTTGTATATACAAGTGAAAACAAAACACGTGAT